TCTTGTTTGGAAAAGTGTAAGTTTTTGAGGTCCTCAAGGATTCTGAGGCCGAAGGGTTTGATGAGTTTTTAGTTGTTTTGGAATTTGTTTATGGTTTCTGGGTTTGTTTTAAAAATGCAGTTGTGCGCTGGATTTTCCGGTGTTGAGCTCTGTTTAATTGCGTATTGTAGTGAGAGTTGGGTGTGTCTGAGTGAGAGTGGTGGTATGTTGGCCTCGGCCTGGAGGCTCTCCACCGGAGAAGTGTGAAAAGCCCCCAGCGAGGCGGAGTCCTTGGTTTTGCACTGGGTCTAGCATTTTTAAGATGTGTCGTTTTGCCGATCCGTAGACTTGACAGCCGTAGTCAAGCCTGGACCGGACAAGGGAGAAGGTGTTTTGAGTCCCCGCCCCACTCCGGATGCGATATAATTTTCAAAGCGTTTAGCGCTTTCTGGCACCTCACACGAAGGTCTTTGATGTGTGGCATGAATGTGAGTTTTTTTTCTCGAAAACTGACGCCGAGGAAACGAGATTGTTCCTGGACGGGAATCCTTTCCCCGTATAGTGTCAAATCCGGCTGCAGCACACGTCTGCCTGTTCGGCAGAAGTGTACTGCAACCGTCTTTGACGGGGAGAACTTGAAACCGTTATTGTTTGCCCACTTTTCGAGTTTGTGCAGCTGCGTCTGCAGCTGCCTTTCCATAGATCTCAAAAGAGGATTTTTCGAACGGCAGCATATCAAAAAGTCGTCAACGTATAACAAGCTGTCTATGCTGTTTTGGAGGGTTTTTACTATGGAATTTATTTTAATTTCGAATAGGAGAGGAGAAAGGATGCTCCCCTGGGGGACTCCATCCTCCTGTTGGTGGGGGTCTGAAAGGGAGGATCCGACACGAGCCTGGAAGGAACAGTTCTTCAGGAAGTTGCCAATAAAGACAGGGAGGTGACTGCGTATGCCGAGTGCGTGCAGGTCTCGAAGAATGCCGTACTTCCAGGTTGTGTCGAAGGCTTTTTCTAGGAAGAAAAAGATGGCGATCATGTGGCCTCCTTCAGCGAACGTCTCGCGTGTAAAGGTCTCCAGGCGGACCAGGTGATCCAGAGTGGATCGAGTTTTCCTGAATCCGCAGTGAAGACCGCTCAGCGAGCCCATCGTTTCCAGAAACCACATGAGTCGCCTGTGGATCATTTTTTCACTGAGTTTGAAGAGACAGCTCGTTAGTGCTATTGGTCTGTAATTGGATGGGTTTGTGTGGTCCTTGTTTGGTTAGGGTATTGGAATGACAGTGGCGAGACGCCAAGACTCTGGAAACGAGTGCGACCGCCACATGTCATTGTATATGTCTAGTAGGAGAGTGAGTGTTTCTGAGGGTAAGTGTCTAATGATCTGATTGTGGATTTCATCCGGTCCTGGGGCTGTATTGCCCAGGTCCGAGATGCACGATGTCAGTTCGTCTATTGTGAAGTTTGCGTTGTAGGTTTCTGTGTTGTTTGAGTGGAAGTTTAGGTGTTGTTGTTCTCTGTTAGTTTTGATGTTTTGAAAAGTGGTGTTGTAGTTTGCTTGGGGTGAGTTTTTGGCGAGAGATGTAGCTATTGTGTTTGCGATGTCTATTTGTGTTTCAGCTGTGGTTCCATCCGGCCTCTGGACGTGCCGAATGGTGTCTGTGCTTCGGTTCTTATATGACCTCATTGTGTTACAAGTGCCGCAAAACTCTTACTCAATCTGAAACAATTACAAGATCAGAAACAGATACAGATGATTGTTCACTGCAGATTCACCTTTTATTTCTCTGCTCAGATGATCTAAATACCCCCCCCTGTATTTTCGTGTTGTCCTGGCCTGCCTCCTCCAGCCATCTATGACCTGTTCAAAATCTCGAAGTGAGATACTTAGAGGCAAAGAATCCCCTATATATCAACTTAGTATTTGCCCCTTTACACCGCCATCCGCCAACTGTCTCAGTAGCACGGTCCTTATTAAACTACTGTAGATTTACCCCGTTGTACCGCCAGCGAACTGGCCGCCAGAAGCACACAGTATACACTAGGCTACACACAGCGCATGAAACATCCACTCAGTGGTTGCTTGACAATCTTCTACACACAAGTCTCTACAAGCTAGACCTATGTCTAGATTAAACGCTTTTCGCCGATTTGCTCTCTTCCCGCCCATCACATCTCCCTACCCTTGTCTTGTAGACTACAGGCAATATGGATAGATAAATCTTCGGTGATGTTATGTGTGGCAAGAGAACACAATACATTTTTGTGTAATGTAGAGGAATGAAATTAAAATAAAACATAACTATATAAGTCACAATGAAATTTCACTCCCCGCGTGAATCGCACTAAATTTGATGAGCTGATTGCGAAAATGCTATTATTTTTAGGTCGTGGTCAATATCTAAAAAACAAATTATTTAAATCTTTAAGACACCTGTAGGTACTCTAAAAGAACCTCGCTACCTCGGCCCCCTGGCAAATACATGTACCTGACGTCACTAGATATCAGGCCAATAATGTTGGCTGGTCAGTGTCCGTGGGGCTTTTATTTAGTAAGACGTGCATTCTAGATGACAGATCGAAGACAGATTACTTATTTCTTTTTCTAGTGATTGGGAAACAAGTTCCCTTGACGTTGTGCAGTCAGTGCTACATGCATTTATCAGAGGACATGAAAACCTCGCTGTACCGCCAGCCCCGCTGTTCTGCCAACTTCATGCTCGTCCTAAGGTAGGCCGTACAACGGGTTTGGCTGTATAGGTGCCAGTCGGCAAGGCACAGGATGATGATGATGATTTGCGTAGCGCATACCTCCGCTCAAACAACTAAAGAAACAGACAAAGAAACAGACAACAAGCACAGCCTATGTCAGGAGCATAGATGTAGTACAGAAGATTGCTGACTTCAGTGGACTGGAGAATCTCAAGATGGTGCAAAAAACAGGACAGTTGAGTACATTCATTGGCGGTAGGCCTAGAGTGGAAGGTGGTGCAGTACTGTTGATGCCTTCTATCGTGGTGCTTTTCTAAACAATATCAAAAGGACGAATATAAGACGTATGGCTCATCGTAAAAGCAACAGTTTCTTTAATTTTTTTTCGATTTTAGGATATAACATGGGATTTTCTAAGCACTCTCAAAATGACAATTATAAGGTTCGTGGTAATAAAAGCGATCGTTCCTTTTTAATGCTTCTATTATGGGTTACAATTTTAATGATTTTCTAAGCAATTTCAAAATGACAAAGATAAGGTTCATCCTAACAGAAGTAATCGTTTCTTTTACTATATATCAATAACTTCGATTTTGGGTAATGGTACCCCTTGATTAATGTAAACTCGTTCATGTAATCCTTTTTCTATACATACATATAACACATTGAACATTTTCAGTTTGGTAGGAATTTTGAATTTTGCCCGGAGGGGAGTGTTAGAAGGAGTCGTGGGTGATTTGGGGGGTGGGGGGAGAGGGTGTTAGAAGGAGTCGTGGGTGATTTGGTGGAGCGGACTAAGGAGCCCATCCTGTTTGGGGATTTTGACAAAGAAAACAATTTTTTTTCTAATTGAGAAGGAATGTCAGCGGGGAAGCATTTGTCACCTTTTTTTGTGTTTGATTTTTGCTGGGTACACATTTGTCAACTTTGTTAGTGTTTGCTTATTGCTGTTTGTTCCTTTGTTTGTTTGTTTGTTTGTTGTCTTTGTTTTGTAGATGTTGTTTGTTTGTTTGTTGTCTTTTTTGTTGCTTTTGGGGGGGGAGGGAGGGGAGGCACTTCGTTAGCTCAACTAACATCATGCTGGACTCGACTGCGAAACGGAGTTGATAGTAGCTAGGGTTCAAATCCCGTACAGAATGTTCTTAAAACTCAGTTCCCTTAATGTCATACAGAATGTTCTTGTAACTCAGTTCCCTTTGCCATTTATTGAGTTTTTGTTTAAAGACGTACTGGTTAACCTATTTGGCTCAATTCTAGCCTAACTTTGTTACTAAAATAACCTAGGCTCGATCCTATCGGAGACGGACAGTGGGCTCTCGTAGCCTAGAGGTTAAAGTTTTCGCCTCTAATTTTTCCGCTCTAAATTGTCTCCTTTCACCTCCTTTCCTGCTCTCAAGCAATGTTCTGTCGTCTGCTTTCGTCTCCACTTTCTGCCCCCCACCCCACATCTCCTTTGCTCCTCCTCCTGACTCTTTCTGCAACCTTTCTACTGCTACTCCTCGGCTCATTTTTACTGCTGTCTTTCAGCGACGCCCCTGATCTACACCTAGCCTTCTTGGACAGGACAAGGGCTAAAAATCGCGAGCAAGTTGCGCACGTTAAAGATCCCTTTGTGATCTAAAATCGATAAGCAAGGGATGTTAGAAGGAGTCGTGGTTAGGCTACCGGACTCGTAATCGTGAGGTTGAGGGTTCGGGGGTTCGGACCGCGTGCCCGACGTTGTGTCCTTGGGAAAGGCACTTTACACGAATTTTCCCCACTTCACCCAGGGGAAAATGGGTACCCAGCTATAGACAGTGAAAGATCTTGTCAGTTCGGTAGTGTTTGAGCGCTTAACCAGCTGCTTGCACTGTATGCTTCCAGGGAAGCTGAGAATGTTTCGGAGTGTTCTATGGTCTGCTGGGGTAATGAAGCCTGACTCCAACATGGATCTAAATTGTGTTGGGGGGGGGGGGGGGGGGGGGGGGTTTGTAAAATCACCTATATTAAAAAAAAAATTCTTGCTGCTACGATGATACAGGGATGTAAATCTTCCGGCTTTTTCCGGCCGACTTGCCATTTGGGCCCCAGCTTTGAACAAAAGTCTACTATAAACAATACATATTATATATATACTAAATAGAGATTATTTGTTGTAATAGAGGGAAAGAAACAAATATAATTTAGTCTCACTGTATTCTTATTTCAGTCAGTGCGCGCGCCGTATATTTTCCGGCTTTCTTTTTTCAAAACCTGTTTCCATCTCTGATGAGATGATAGTATTGATAGCATACAGCAATGAATTGTGAAAATATCAAAATAACTAAAACCAAAGTTTAAAAAAACAGATCTTTATTAATAAACCACACTGTTTCCATCAATTTGTATCACCTGTTTGAAGATCACGAGATAGTGAATCATTCTACAAAGCAACTCCTTGTAGACTCTGTCTCATTTGCATTGACAGTACAGCCTAGACACTTAAACATCCTGGACGGTAGTCAGGACAGACTCATGTTTCTCATCCATACTGTCACACTTACAAATTACAGGAAAATAGACAGACTTTCAGTATACTTAGTGGACAAAAGACTGAGAAACGAGACGAAAAAAAGATCAATAGATTTTAATCAACAACAATAGATAGATAGACAAATTTGATAAATATAATACTGGTGAATAGAATACCCAAACCGTGTGGTAATAATCTGGAGAAACTTGGCCTACCATGACAACATTACTTACTACATATAACATACAATATTAGTTTAATGTAATATTATGCAGTAACTTTTTTACTGTAACGACACCAGAGACAAAAATTGACTCGGACATTTCATGGCGGACAGATAATAATATTACATGTATTTTTAAAAATTATAATTGACATTTCTACACACTGACTCCATTCTGTCGTCTGTCTTGACCTTTGACCTAGTTAGTGGCTAAGGTCAAGGCCAGGGGGTCTTAGCCCCAGTCGGGATGGATGACGAAGTGTCGGGGGGTGGGGGCGTGGGGGCGGACGTAGTGGCTGCTCCAGTTGTTCACAGGGTTGTCGTTCTTGTACTCTGGGGACAGGTTTTCTTTTTTGTAAAAAGTTTTATGGTACTTCCAACACAATAAGGTCGTATTATGATGGTTAGGGGTACCGTAACGTGGACGAAAACATAGGGATTGGGATTGATAATTTGTCCCCGTCGTTTTGTGCAAGAAAAATTCCTGAAGTTATGCAAACTGAGCCCAAAAATGTGAAAAATGTGAAATTATGCGATTCTGTTAATTTTAACAAAGGATGTTAAAGGAAAATAATCAGAAATTATGCAAAAAATGATCAAATTTTGCTAAATTATGCGGGTTGTATAAAACCACGGGGACAGGATAATGATGATGTTTTGTGTGTCTTTGGGGGTTGGGGGTGGGGGTGGGGTGCATATGTAGTGACTGTGTCAATCGTTGACCGGGGTATCGTTCTTGTATTCTGTTCGGGATATTTTATTAATGGTAGCCTATAGGTTTAACACCCCTATCAACACTATTAGGTTATTTAAGAGGCGGGACCTCCGAGTTTAACGTCCATCTCCGAAAGGACTGAGCCTGGTGGGAATTTCGTGTAATAAAGTGCCTTTCCCAAGGACACAACGTCTGACCGAGCTGAGGCTCGAAACCCCGAACCGGTGGTGTCGGTGGTCTAGTGGTTAGGCTACCAGACTCGTAATCGTGAGGTTGCGGGTTCGGCGGTTCGAGCCTCAGCTAGGCGCTCTTGAACTTATGTCGTTTGTGGGGTTTTCATGGTTCTTAACCTGTTTGTTTGGGTCCAATCCGAGAAAGATGTTAAATTCGGAGGCTCCGCCTCTTAACCCTATCCGTACGTCGTGCTTTATTATCGTATCCATACGACGTGGGGAACTCTGTGCCACCACTTTCCAAAGAGGAAATTTACTCGTTAATCCGATCCGTACGCTTTGCATAGCAATCTGTCAAAATCATTTTTGAGAAATACTGAAAGTTTCAAACAGATCTTCGAGCTAGAAGTATTCTAAAATGTGAAGAATACAACCCTGGGGTACAAAATGACCCCCGGGCGTACGGATAGGGCTAAATAATTTAATGCTGATATTACAGGGGAGTTACACTTATAGAGGGAATACAGTGGAACAAAACACAACAGCAACTAAACAAAAAAACAATCAACAAAAGGACAAACAGACAGACAGACGTACCAATAAACAAATAACCAAAATGACACAGTGGATACAGACCGACGTACCAATAAATAACACACAGAAAGTGGAGACAAACAGACGAGACAGACAGACAGACAAACCGACAGACGAGACAAACAAACAGTCAAACAAAGAGACGGACATACCAGGCAGGTGGTGCCATGTGGTGTGCATCCACCGGTTGGAGCGTGTCTGGGGGTCCAGGAGTCTCACATACTTGAGCTTGCTCTCCCTTCCGTCCAGGTTCGAGTCCAGGGACCGTCTCATGGCAGGGGTGGCCGCCTGGCCGCGCTGACTGGACACCACAGGGAAAAACAAAACTGTTTATCTTTTGTAGCTAAGTGACTGGACACCACAGTGGAAAAACAAAACTGTTTATCTTTTATGTATGAGTAGCTAAGTGACTGGACACCACAGTGGAAAAACAAAACTGTTTATCTTTTATGTAGGAGTAGCTAAGTGACTGGACACCACAGGGGAAAACACACACACACACACACACACACACACACACACACACACACACACACACACACACACACACACACGTGCGGGCCCACAAATACGCACATACACACACACATACACACAAAAAAACAACAACAATTTATTAATATTTTAAGTAGGAGTTGACTGGACATGACAGGAAAAAAAACAACAAAACAACGAAACATATTAATCTTTTAAGTTTAAGTAAGAGTAGTTGACTGTACACCACATGAACAAAACTTCAAACTACAAAACTTGTTAATCTTTTAAGTGTAAGAGAATTTGACTGAACAAGGCAGGGAAAAAAACTAGACTTTTTAATATTATCTTTTACGTAGGGTCGATGAGTAGGTGACTGGACACCACAGGAATAAACAAAACTTTTAAAATGTATCTTTTTTGTAGGAGTAGTTAAGTGACTGGACACAACAGGAAAAAACAAAACTTTTAAAATGTATCTTTTATGTAGGAGTAGTTAAGTGACTGGACATCACAGGAAAAAACACAACTTTTAAAATGTATCTGTTATGTAGGAGTAGTTAAGTGACTGGACACCACAGGGAAAAACAAAACTTTTTATACGTATCTTTTTTTCTTCCTTCTATTTGATCAACCTATCGAAACTGAAACCGAAAACTCGGCGAAACCGAAGAAAATCCAGCAGTCCCGCAGGTTTTATTTTAATTAAGCGGACCCCGCTTTTATTTAAAAAGAAACACAAAGTGGGACTGGGAAGTGGTCGTTTACCAGAGTGATAGTCTTGAACAAACAAACAAACAAACAAACAAACAAACAAACAAACAACCAAAAACATGTACACAGTGTGTGTCCACCAGTGTGTAGACTCACGTTTCGAGTGTCCGTATAACCTGCTGCAGTCTTCCCTTCTGCTCCTGCGCCGTGGTCCCCATCAGTTTGGCGCCAGCAACAGACGTGAAGAACTTGAGAGCCACCTGGCGTTCTGGGGAGTTGCGCACCATTGTTAGCACCGAGTTGTCGTTCTTTTATATACACTAAATATATTATATATAGTACTGTTGTGCAGCATTGTCAGCACCGAGTTATAGATCTTTCATTATACAAAATACAATATTTGTGCACCATTGTGAGCACAGAGTTATGGTTCTTTCATAATGTATGATAATATTGCACACCATAGTTAGCACGCAGTTGTCGTTCTTACATAATTATATATAGTTATGCATCACTGTCAGCACGGAGTTGTGGTTCTTTCATAATACATATGATAGTTGTGCATCACTGTCAGCACGGAGTTGTGGTTCTTTCATAATGTATGATTATTATGAGGCAGCGTGGTGAAATCAGGCGCTCGTCAAAATAACAGAATCGGCAAAACAGGTATTTTCCCGCCACTTTCAACATTTTTATTGAATTTTTATTTTTTTGGCTTAACCTCTTTACTCTCCATATATAAACACATTTACATGTGAATTTTACTTTAAAAACAACAACAACAACATTGATTAAAGGCTCGAAATATGTCAGTTTTCAATTTTCAAAGACTCTTTAGCTATTGGAGTTACCAAATTTTGGCGGCCATTTTCTCGCTGATTTCACTTCTGAAATCAGGTGACCCCACTTCCTTCCATCGCAAATATCTTGAATTTTATCCAAGATAAATGGATGGGTTTTTTTTCATTTGAAGCAAGGCAACTAAATCAGCTTTCTGATAATACCAATAACTCCACATGTCCAAAAATTGACGAGAGCCTGATTACACCGCGTCGTGACACAATTTTAGTTGCGCACCATCGTTAGCACGGAGTTGTGGTGTTGGAGGTGGGCGGGTGCTCTGGTGGGGTTTGCTCATTCTTTCTTTTACAAAAAACTATCGTCCTTCTCTCTCCTCCTCCTTTTTTGTGTTTGTTGCTCTCTTAAGTAACACCTCTAATCTTCGGCATTTATATGGCCTTTTCGTGTTGCAAGTGAAGTTAAACTCTTACTAAAATTTTAAAAAACCCACAGTTATGGTTGTTATATAGTAATAATAAAAACTGTCCTGTTGAGGCCCCCAACTCACCACTATCTGTCGCCGTCTCCAGCCAATCCTCCACGTTCTTCTTGGCGTCAGGCAGAAGAGATTTCCTCATGGCGTTGTCCATCTGGTGTTGTTTCTCCTGGGGAGGACGGGGAAAA